TTGAGTCAATTTACAGACCCAGAACCCCTTGAATGACGAGGAGGCCAGGTCCCCTTGGAGAAGGATTCTGATGTGCCAAAAATTTACACTGTTAATCTTTCTCCTATCCTTCCCCAGAGGGGCCTGAGGTCTTTTGCCCGAGTAACTGTCCACTGGGGGAAGGGGAATGATCAGATATTTTGGGGACTACTAGACACTGATTCTGAACTAACACTGATTCCAGGGAATCCACAACATCACTGTGGCCCTCCAGTAAGAGTAGGGGCCTATGGAGGCCAGGTGATCAATGGAGTTTTAGCAAAGGTCTGATAGGTCCAATAGGTCCTCGGATTTACCCTGTAGTATTTCCTCTGTTCTGGAAGGTGTAATTGGGATTGATGTACTTAGTACTTGGCAGAATCCTCACGCTGGTTCCCTAACCTGTAATGTGAGGGCTATCATGATTGGGAAGGTGAAATAAAGTTGCCTTTGCCTGGTAAAATAGTAAACCAGAAGCAGTATCACATTCCTGGAGGGATCCCAGAGATTACTGCCACCATCAAGGACTTGAAGGATGCAGGGGTGGTGGTGCCCACCACATCTCCATTTAATTCCCCCATTTGGCCTGTGTAGAAGACAGATGGGTCTTGGAGAATGACTGTGGATTACCATAAACTGAATCAGGTGGTGACTCCAATCGCAGCTGCAGTACCATTAACACATCTCCTGGTACTTGGTACACAGCTTTCGATTTGGCAAATGACTTTTTCTCCATACCTATTCATAAAGATTATCAGAAACAATTTGCTTTTAGCTGGCAAGGCCAGCAATATACCTTCACTGTCTTACCTCAGGGGTATATTGACTCACCATCCCTATGTCACAATTTGGTTTTAAAGGATCTTGAGCGCTTTTCTCTGTCACAGGCTATCACACTGGTCCATTACATTGATAATATGCTGACTGGGCCTAGTGAGCAGGAGGTAGCAACCACACTGGATTCGTTAGTAAGGCATTTGAGAGCCAGAGGATGGGAAATAGATCGAACAAAATTCAAGGTCCTTCTACCTCAGTGAAATTTCTAGGAGTCCAGTGGCGTGGAGCATGTAGAGATAACCCCTCTAAAGTAAAAGATCAATTGTTGCATCTGGTTTCCCCTAGAACTAAAAAGGAGGCACAACCCTTAGTGGTCCTATTTGGATTTTGGAGGCAACACATTCCTCATTTAGGTGTCTTACTCTGTCCCATTTACCGAGTGATTCAGAAAGCTGCTCATTTTGAGTGGGGCTCAAGACAGGAAAGGCTCTGTAACAAGTCAAGGCTGCTGTGCTTGCTTTGGCAGCACATATACTAAAATTGGAACGATACAGAGAAGATTAGCATGGCCCCTGCGCAAGGATGACACGCAAATTTGTGAAGCGTTCCATATTTTTAAAGCAACAGTAGTAAAATCAACATGGTACTGGAATCAAAACAGAGCCGAAGATCAATGGAATAGATTAGAAGATACAACCACAACTACAAACACACTCAACCACCTTATCTTTGATAAAGGAGCCAAGCAGGTTCACTGGAAGAACGACAGTCTCTTTAATAAATGGTGCTGGAAAAACTGGCTCTCCATTTGCCGAAAACTAAAGCTAGACCCATGTCTATCACCATGTACTAAATTAAAATCTAAATGGGTCAAAGATCTGAATATTAAAACAGAAACACTAAATCTATTGGAAGACAAATTGGGTAGAAACCTTGGAGACATAGGAGTAGGTAGAGAATTCATGAACAGGACTCAAACCGCACGGGAAATACTTCCCAGAATCAATAGCTAGGACCACTTCTTATTAAAAAGTTTCTGCATGTCAAAACAAATCTCCAGCATGGTAAAAAGAAAACCCACAAACTGGGAAAAGATGTTAGTGAACTCTCTCTCAGACGAGGGACTCTTGTCTAAAACATATAAAGAATTAAAAAAACTCAGACCCCCAAAATTCAAAGATCCAATCCAAAAATGGGCATCTGAGATGAATATGCACTTCTCAGATGAAGAAATGCAAATGGAAAATAAATACATGAAAAAATGTTCATCATCATTGGTCATTAGAGAAATGCAAATTAAAACCACACTGAGATACCATCTCACTCCTGAAAGAATGGCCAGGATCAAGAAAACCAACAACAACAAATGCTGGAGAGGCTGTGAGGAAAAAGGAACTCTCCTACACTGTTGGTGGGAGTGTAGACTGGTACAACATTTGTGGAGGTCAGTCTGGAGATTTCTCAAAAAGCTGGGATTGGAAGTCCCATTTATTCCAGCTATTCCACTTCTAGGCATATTCCCAGAAGAACTGAAAGCATCATACCACAGTGATAATATGTGCACCTATGTTTATAGCAGCACAATTTGTAATCGCCAGATCTTGGAAACAACCCAAGTGTCCATCAACTGAGGAATGGATAAAAAAGTTGTGGTATTTCTATACAATGGAGTATTATTCAGCTATAAAGAAGGATCACATTGAGATATTTATCAATAAATGGGCACAGCTTGAGACCATACTCATAAGTGAAATAAATCAATCTCGCATGTATGAATACTGAGTAGTTTCCCTAATGTAAGTAATGATTCAAATAAATAAAAGTATGTGGTAATCATGATTCCCCATTATGTGGCCTTGAAGCCTTATAAAGTTTTCACTTATTAATTGGAAAGGCTTTATTCTGGGCTTCTTGATATGGAAATACTTGAAGCTATAGTATATGAAGTTTTATTCAAATATTTCAAGGAAAAAGACAGACACTATGGTAACTACTATTAAGTCGGGTTATTTGGTAGTGAACCACTAGGTTGCTGAAACAGTCATGCTTTGACCTGTATTGTTATATTGTTATGTCCTGTTTTATCTCAATCTCTGCCTTATTCATTAAAAAATTATTTAGTTATTTTTTATGTTTTTTTTAATTAAGGGTAAAAAATTTAAAAACTTAGCAGGGTATATAATAGTAACTTTTTTGATTTCCTATTAACTTGTTTTGAAGTCCTGTAATACTCCCACTATCTTGTTTTGACTGATTAGACTCTGTTCCATTCTGTATGATAGTATCAAGTTTGAGGGTATAGGCAACTACTTTGAAGGCAATAAGATTCACTAAGATGCCCATTCTGGTTTAACTATTGTCTCCTTTGGAAGTCCTATAATGTTTACAATGCTTATTTTTATTGGTCTTGTTCTCTACTGTTTTGTTCAACTTTACAATATATAATGAGATAGACAATTCTTTTTAAGGAAACAAGAGACATTGTTGATAACCATTGTTGATAACCTTGTACTCTGTTTTACATCATGTGCTATGTCTATCCTTGGTTTGACTGACAGCTTTGTTTTGCCATATTTGACTTTATTCCCCCCCCCCCCGCAAAAGTAATAAGAACTAAGGAGTAATAAAACCCAAAATGTATAAATTTTGTTGTAAAAAAGAGAGGGGAAAAAAAAAGTTCTAAATGATACAACAGCAAGAGTCTTTAGGGGTGTTAAATAGCTGACCATATTAATGTTTTTGGTTGTATCATTGAACACAACTGTTTGCAGTCTCACTGTTTGAGTGTCCACTTTGTATGTTTTGATAATGTGATTTGAGCAACTATCTCTAAGATGATAATATGTAATCTATTAACCGGTGATTTCTTACTGTTTTTTTTTTTTTTTTTTTGTAGTTCTGTATTACTTGTACCCTTACACTGCTTTGTTTTTTCTCTTTTTCCTTTTAAATAAAATTAAAAAAAAACCAAAAAACAAGTCAAGCTGCTGTACAGGCTGCTCTTCCACTGGGACTGTATGATTGAACAGATCTAATGGTAGTCGAGGTGTCAGTAACAAACAAAGATGCTGTTTGGAGTCTCTGGCAGGCCCCATTGATGAATTACAGCGGAGGCCTTTACAATTTTGGAGTAAGGCTCTGCCATTGTCTGCAGACAAGTACTCTCCCTTTGAGAAACAGCTGTTGGCCTGCTACTGGGTCCTAGTGGAAACTGAAAGCTTGACTATGGGACACCAGGTCACCATGCGACCTGAGTTACCTATTATGGCCTGGGTATTATCTGACCCACCAAATCATAAAGTTGGACACGCACAACAACAGTCTGTCACTAAATGGAAGTGGTATATTTGTGATGGAGCCAGAGCAAGCCCGGAAGGTACAAGTAAATTACATGAGGAAGTTGCCCAGATATTTAGCACGTATACCTGCTATGTTGCCTTCAGTTTCCCAGCATGCACCTATGGCCTTGTGGGGTATACCATATGATCAGTTGTCAGAGGACAGAAGGCTAAGGCCTGGTTTACAGATGGCTCTGCACGTTATGCAGGAACCACCACAAGTGGACAGCTGCAGCATTACAGCCCCTTTCTGGGATATCTTTAAAGATAGTGGTGAAGGGAAATCATCACAGTGGGCAGAACTTTGAGCAGGGCACTTGGCAGTACATTTTGCCTGGAAGAAGAAGTGGCCAGATGTGAGACTGTACACTGATTCATGGGCTGTAGCCAATGGTCTAGCCGGATGGTCAGGAACTTGGAAGGAACATAATTGGAAAATTGGTGACAAAGGTATTTGGGGAAGAAGTATGTGGATAGACCTCTCTATGTGGGCAAAGGATGTGAAAATATTTGTTGCCCAAGTAAATGCTCGCCAAAAGGTAACATTAGCAGAAGAGGACTTTAAATAATCAAGTAGATAAGATGACTCATTCTCTGGACAATGGCCAACCTCCTTATCCACCACCCTAGTCATTGCCCAGTGGGTCCATGAACAGAGTGGCCATGGTGGCAGGGATGGAGGGTATGCATGGGCTCAGCAACATGGACTCCCACTCACCAAGGCTGATCTGGCTACAGCCACTGCTGAATGCCCAGTATGCCAGCAGCAGAGGCCAACACTAAGCCCCCGATATGTCAGCATTCCTGGGTGATCAACGTGCATCCTGGTGGCAGGTTGATTATATCAGACTTGATATAATCAGGGACCGCACTTTGTCCTCACTGGCATAGACACGTATTCTGGATATGGCTTTGCCTTTGCCACACGTAATGCTTCTACTAAAACTACCATCTGTGAACTCACAGAATGCCTTATCCATCACCATGGAATTACACATAGCATTGCCTCTGACCAAGGAACACATTTTATAGCTAAAAAAGTGAGACAGTGAGCTCATGCTCATAGAATTCACTGGTCCTACCACGTCCCTCACCATCCAGAAGCAGCTGGATTGATAGATGGAATGGCTTTTTGAAGACACAGTTACAATGACAGCTAGGTGGCAACAGTTTGCAAGGCTGGGGTAAGGTACTTCAACAGGCTGTATATGCTTTAAATCAACGTCCATTATTTGGCCCCATAGCCAGGATTCATGGGTTCAGGAATCAAGGAGTAGAAGTAGGAATGGTGCCACTTACCATTATCCCTAGTGATCCACTAGAAAAATTTTTGCTTCTTGTCCTCTTGACTTCATGTTCTGCTGGCCTAGAAGTTTTGGTTCCAGAGTGGGGAAGGCTTATACCAGGAAGCACAACAATGGTGCCATTGAACTGGAAGCTAAGACTCCCTCCTGGTCATTTTGGTTTCATTATGTCTCTGAGGAAACAAGCTAAAAAGGGAGTCACAGTGTTGCCAGGTGTGACTGACCCAGACTACCAAGGGGGAGTTGTACTACTACTCCACAATGGAGGAAAGAAAGAATATACTTGGAGTGCAGGAGATTCCTTAGGGCGCCTTTTAGTACTACCATGCCCTGTCATTAAGGTTAACGGGAAATTACAGCAACCTAATACAGACAAAGTGACAAGTGGTCCAGAACCTTCAGGAATGAAGGTGTGGGTCACTCCACCAGGGGAAGAACCCAGACCTGCTGAGGTGCTTGCTGAAGGCCAAGGGAATACAGAATGGGTAGAGGAAGAAGGAAGTTCTAAATATCAGCTACTACCCCGTGATCAGTTACAGAAAAGAGGATTGTAATTACTATTTCTGCCCAAATATGGTTTTAATGTAACATAATGTTAGACTTAATGCTGTTTTTTTGGGAATTGTTAAACTTGTGTTATAATGTTCAGGTTATAAACTGATAGGAGTAAGCATTAACCAAAGAAAAGTTACATTGTGTATTTTGGTAGGGGAATTACTGTGTTTCCTTTTGTAGAAGGACAGTTATAACATGTTAGGCATAATTATATACATGTCTGTGTATCTGGAACTAGTTTAAAGAAATGTGTCTGGTTGCCACGTTGACAAGGGGTGGATTGTAGTGGTTGATTGAAGGTGTCAACTTGAGACATTTAGAAGCTTAATTAAATAGGTTTAGCAATTCTACACACAAGGGTGTAGAAGACCCACCCTAGTGTGGCTCATCACCTGGAGATATGAAAGGGAAGGAGGAAGGAAGAATGCATTCCATTCTTGGGAGAAGCTCCAGTCTTCACCTTGGTTTGGACGTCATCTCCAGGCTTCCAGTGTAGACGCTTCAGCTTTCTGGCACAGACTCTTCAGCCTTTCATAGAGGAGCATTCGGCCTTCTGTTGCAGACCCATCAGTCTAACCTGTGTGGACTTGCACAAGACACGACGGTGAACTCCAGACCTTGGATTGAATCCTTTGGTTTCCAGTTTGTAGACATCCTCTGCAAGCTTCCTCATCGGACTCTGTGGCTGACCATCGTAAGCCAATCTTGTTTCTTTTACATCTGTATATGTCATGTTATATCTGTTCTCTCTAGTAAAACCCTGACTAATACAACTGTATATTTCACTAATGTGCTTTTTTCTTAAGTTCAGCGCTATTAGAAATCTAATAACGCTGGGCACATTGATATTCAGAACTCTCACAGTAGTCTCATTCTAAGTTAGAGCATATATCGACTTGTGCACCAGGCCTGATTATCTCTGGAAGGGCTAGTTAACGTAACTGCGTGAGCCCATCTGGCAAAGAAGCAGTTTTCCTGATTATTGTATAATCCATCTTTCCAGTGACAACTTTGATGTTAATTCTGTTTTGGGATTGCAGTGATTAAAGGTATAGGGAGGAATTTTCAGTCTACTCTCCTTACTGTTTCCATTTCTCTCACAGGGTAGCGCACGCATGTCCTTGAAATAAAAAGTGCTCCCACCTAACTCCCAAAAGTATATTCAGTTCTAGTAGTTAATATTACTACCATCTGAGTTACCAGTTTAAGGATCCATAATTAGAGCTGACCAGATAAAGGAAGATACTATAGATTTAAGGATACTGGAAATTTCTTCTGGGATCAAGTCAGTGACTGATCCCTTCACTTGAAGAGTTACTTGAGTGTCCTTCCAGTGGATTCGCAGTACACCTTACCTCTAGATTTAAGTCTTTAAAAAGCGGAACTTCAGGCCTCAGAAGTCTAGTGGGCTAAATAATGTTTCCCCAAAGACAGCCAGGTCTAATCCCCAGAGCCTGTGAATACGTTACCACAATGTAGTCTCAAAACCTTGCTATAGGATTAAAGATTTGGAGGTGGGCAAAATTAGCTTTTATTATACAGGTGGAGCCCACGAAGTGGAAAGGGCCCTGTGAGGGAGTGGGGCTGATGGAGGGCGCGGACGGGGAGGTGTGCGATCGGCATGGTGGGAGGAAGGAGTCAGGAGGCGAACAGTACCAGTGGCCTCCGGAAACTAAGAAAGTCAAGAAAAAGGATTTTCCTAAGTCTCCAGAAGGTGCCAACTCTTCTGTCGCCTGTATTTAAGCCCAGTGACACAGATTTTGGGGGTGGCTACCTCTGGAATGGTAAGATACTGAGTTTTTATGTCAGTAAGTTTGTGCTAATTTGCTACAGTAGCAATAGGAGACTGGCAGGTGTTTGCAAAGAGCTTCAAGGTTTTGATTACCACATTTCTCAGCAGTGCAGAAGAATATTTCTGTTTAATCTTTACCTTTTTACAGATGTGTGCATTGTTTTGCTCATATAAGTAGCCTCTAAACGTTTCTGGGGTACAAGTATGTCCTCTGCCTGTCTTTTTCGTCGTAGGTATGAATCTTGAGCCTGGTAGGTCCTTGAAGTATGTGTGCATTATCTATGCTAATAAACTTCAGTAGTCAGAAGTTACTGAGAAAACTGCACCTGGTATTTTTAAATTTGTAAATGTACTTTGAATTCTTTGAGGTAACCTGATTATCATGTGTTTTAGAGCTTAAAGATGTGGCATAGTAACTAGCACCCGTGCACACACTGGTGCTAAGGCTGTAAAATGGCATAATCATTTTGGAAAACAGTTCAACAGTTTCTTTAAAACTAAAAATACTCCTGTCATGTTTCCCAGCCATTGCATCCCTCCATATTTAACCTAGGCAATCGGGGCATGTATCCAGGCATGGGTTTCTTGTATACAGCATATGGTTGGATGTTGTTTCTTGATCCATTCTGCCAGTTTGTTTCTGTTAATTGGTGAACTGAGGCCATTTACACTAATAGTTATAGTTGATATATATTGGATTATTTTTGTCATGTTATCTTTCTGCTGTTGGGTCTGTATCTTTCCCCTCTATTTAATTGTTTTTCTTGCTTAGTGCTTTTATTCTGTTGTTGTTCTTGAAGTTGTACTTATTTTTAATGTCTAACTAGACTATCTTTCAGTATTCTTTTCAGGACTGGTTTGGTGGTCATGAAGTTCTTCAGCTGTTCTTTGTGAAAGTATCTTATTTCTTCATTGATTTTGAAGGATAGTTTTGCAGAATACACTAATCTGGGTTGAAAGTTGTTTTCCTTTAGGATTTGAAATACTTCACTCCACACTTTCCATGACTTCATTGTTTGTGTTAAGAAGTCTGCGGTGATTCTATAGGTTTTATTTTATAGGTGATTTGTTTCATTTCTCTAACAGCTTTTAGTATTCTGTTCTTATGTTGAATTTCTGGAATGTTGATTATTGTATGTCTGGGTGTAGATTTATTTTGGTTATAGCTAATTAGAATTTGATAGACTTCACTTATCTGTATGTCAGTTTCCTTTCCCATGTTTGGGAAATTTTCAGCGATTACTTCTGTAAATAGTCTTTTGATATCATTTGTGTTGTCACCTTTTCCATTTACACCTGTCAATATTTTTTTTCATTATCTTGCAACTGTTGAATTGTTATTTCCCAAGTCCTTGTTTACCTGGGAGATTATTTTTTATCTGCGTTCCTTTACTGCTTCATGGAGTTGCTTCTTTACTTCAGTTGCTATTATTTCAGAAGTTTCAGGTGCATGGCTTACATTTTCTTCTATGTCCATGTCTCCTAGGCTTGTTTGGGATGGGCTGGAGGTTTGAGATTGTGTTTTGCTCTTTTGTTTTATTATTGTTGTAGTCAGGGGTTGTACACAGAGAACAATTCAGGTCAGGATATGGAGTTTATAATATTTTTATAATGGTCACTGAAAGTTAACACAGGAAAATGCAGGAGATCTATCCACAACACCAACGACATAGATTATTTAAGTCAAGAGCCTAAACCCCACGGCAATGTCCCACATGAGTCCAGATAAAAACCCAGAGCTCAGGACAATGCCTCCACGAGTCCAGCTGGAAGTCCAGAGCCCACAAGAAGGACTCATGCCAGTCTCTTTTACGGATTCGTGCCGGGAAGACCCAAGGGTCAGCGGGGGAAGACCCAAGGGTCAGCGGTGGAAGCTAGAAAGTCTATGTCAGCAGGATGAAGGAGCTGTGCTAGTGGGATGAGGGTTCTACACTGGAGCCGAGAAGTCACACTCAACAAAGAGCGGGGCTGTCCTGAAAGGAACCACAGCTGTCCTCAGCGACACGGAGGCCCTGAGCTCCTCCGGCGACAAGCACAGTCGGGTACGTGCCAGGAAGCAGTGTGACGAATTCACCCTGGAGACCAGGCAGCACATGTCTTCCCCTCCGGAGCCAGGAAGCAATGCTCGATGTGAAGACCAAAGCTTCTCCAGAAGAACCAACAGCTCAGACAGCAACTTGTAGGAGAACCCATAATGCCTCCATAACGCCTCAATCCCTCTCTAAACACCTCTCTTCTCCACCTATTTATCCTGGCAGCCCTCCTCAGGTGGAGCATCTTCTCTCAATGCGTGTTGATGTAATCCAGCTGGCATTAAGTTGACCACTAGTTATCAAACCATAACAATTATTTTCCTGTATTTCCTTGGAGAAGCTGAATGCAAGGTCTCAGTTGCTCCCTGGGTTGAGGATATCTGTCTGTACTGCAGGGAGTTTCTCCAGTTGAGTGGAGCTCAGTCAGGCCACTGAGCTCAGGCATGACTGATGGAGTTCACTGTGTGTGCCTTTGACTTGCATCACTGAGCTCCGGTGATTCCCCAGCCACTCAGGGTTGCTGGGTGGAGCCCAACCAGGCCTCAAGGGACGTACCTGAAGGTCCTCAGCTGACTGGGGACACTAGGTGGGACCCCACCAGGCTTGAAGCAAGGTGCTGAAGTTGTACAGCTGGATGGGGTTCGCTGTGCACACCTTCAGCTCATGCCATCAAGCTCAGGCAACTCCCCAGCTACCTGGGGTCACTGGGCGTTGCCCAACTAGGCCAGTTGTGCCTATTTAAGCTTCAGCCATTATTTCTATTTTAACATTTAGATCTCTGATTCACTTTGATTTTAGTTTAGCACAGAGCAAGATACATGGGTCTAGGGGCTGGGGATTTAGTTCAGCGGCATAAGTGCCTGCCTTACAAGTAGGCAGTCGTGAGTTCAATCCTCGGTACCGATAAAAAGGAAAAAGACAAAAAAAAAAAAAAAGATACATGGGTCTAGTCCCTTCTGCATGTGGGTATCCAGTTTCCTCAGCACCATTTCTTAAAGCAAGTCTCTCCTCCAGTGTATGTTTTTGCCTATTTGTCAAAAGATCAAATAGGTTAATGTGTTGGGGTTGCTTCTACTTTCTCTATTCTGTTTCATTGAACCACACGTCTGTTTTTGTGCCAGTACCATGCTGTTTTTATCAATGTAGCTTTGTAATACAATTTCAGATTTGGGATTGGGTTGTCTCCTGCTTTGTTTTTGTTACCCAGGATTGCTTTTGCTTCTGGATCTCTTCTGGTTCCATATGAAGTTCTGGATTTTTTTTAACTCTATGAAGATTGTTGTTGGTATTTTGAATTGTGTTCAAAATTCAGATATTCAGAATTGTGTTAAATCTGTATTTCAATTTTGGAAGTATAGTCATTTTGACTATAATTGGTCTTGTCTATCCAGGAACATGGGGTTCTTTCCATTTTCTGATGTCCTCTTTGATTTCCTTTTTCAGAGTGATATAATTTTGAATGTCTTTTGAAAAGTACAAGCTTTAACTTTTTAAGCCTACAATTTATTAATATTTTCTTTTATGGGTAATACTTTGGGTGTTATATCTAAGAAACATTTATCCCATCCAAATTCACAATGAATTTTGCTTATGGTTTCTTGTAATTTTTATAATTTTAAGGTTAACATTTAAGTATATGGCATATTTTAGTTTTTTAAATATGATATAAAGAATGAAATCAAATTTGGGTTTATTCATTTTTTGTTCTTCCGTTTAGCTCTTCAGTTGCTTTTATAAATCTTCATTCAGTTGCTTTTGCTCCTTTGTAAAAAGTCAACTTGCCACATATCTGGATCTATTTCAGAAATTTGAGCCAATTGCCTTTTTTTTCTCTTCATCTTTTTGAGACAGGGTTTCACTGTGCAGTTC